TAGATAGATAGATAGATAGATAGATAGATAGATAGATAGATAGATAGATAGATAGATAGATAGATAGATAGATAGATAGATAGATAGATAGATAAAAAGTAAAGTCTCTAATGTCTTAGACCAGGGTTGGGCAACATGGCAGCCCACCCCTGTGGCCCTCAGGTGACCTCCCTCTGGCCTACCTCAATAAAATGAAATGTTATGATTGTTTTAGTCCTTACTGTTAGTATAGGAATATTTTCCTTTATCACCTTCATCACAGTTTCACATATTTATATAAATATATAGTTACAGCATATCCTTGTCCTGATTAGCAGTAGCAGCTAATCATAATATATAATTTACTGCTCTTTACAATGGGTAAAAAAATTGACTATTAAGTAGAATTGAGTACAAGGTATTGTAGGTTTTGGGTCGCCCACAGAAAAAAACATAATTGCCCACCCCTGCCTTAAACACAGGGTGTAGTGCAGTTATCTGAGAGGAACTTGAAGAGGAGTGTGTTGAGTTGGTTCGGTCTGAGGTGCTAATGATGCTTTCAGGACACCTCCCTATAGGAAGGTTTTCCTGGGCATGTCCAGTAAGAGGAGACCCTGGAGAAAACTTAGGAAACAATGGAGAACTATACTACTTGGCTGGCCTGGTAACACCTTGGAATCTTGCTAGAAAAGCTGGGGGGGGGGGGGGGGTGATGGATGGATGAAAGATGTGAGAGGTGAGAATCATTTACAACACTACTGAATGCTATCTCATAGTATTACACAATATTATTTTGAAGGTTTACCAAATATTACACCATCATTTCTCATAAAAAAGATTCTAGTTTAAAATTCTTACACAAAATACAGGGTGAGTCAAAAGTCACAAGACATCATTTTATTTTGATCCAGTTTAGTAGCTTTCAGGATGGCAACCATGTTTGGATAAAGCCTAAAAGATAAACCCTCTAATCCATTACTTGTTGGGGTATTCAGATCATTTCTCTTTTCTTTCTGAAAAAAAAAAGGGATGTCCTGTATCCTGGTTTAAACCAGACCCCATCCTTCACTTTGCTCAGTACAAGGGTCTGGACTTGATGCATAGAGAAGCATTTCTTGCAGGAGGCGTGGCCTCTGCTGAAGTTTAAAATGAGTGGATCCGTTGGTTGCGACGTATGTCGCTGACTGTGAACATAGCTGTGACGGAGGCTAAGCTAAGAAGCTAACCGGAAATCGCGTGTGCTGTAAACAACCCTAATGAGAGGAGAGAAGTACCGAGCCGAACAAGACGACTGTAAATGAGAGCTGCTGCTTTGTCAGACAAATTTATTTTAATTTGGAAACCTTATCAACACAGACTGGCTTCATTCACTTCCTCCACTGCCGTTTGCTAAAATAACTAACAGACACTGCGCAGAACATCAACATCATTCAAAACTCCTCCTTCTGTTCTCTGATTGGTCCAGGTAAAATAAACTACAAGCAGACACTGAGCAGAACATCGACATCATTCAAAACTCCTCCTTCTGTTCTCTGATTGGTCCAGGTAAAATAAACTACAAGCAGACACTGTGCAGAAAATCTACGTTCTGTTCTCTGATTGGTTCGGCTAAAAATCTGCCAGCGAAATTCATCTCAATGGGAGAAGTCCCAGACGGAGCAGAGAAGGGAAACTAGAATTGAATGGAGCTGCGTAGGAAGGCAAGGGCCAGGCTAGGTGTCCTGTGACTTTTGATTCACTCAGTAGATCATGTCCTAAAATGAGGACGGGTTTACCTTTACGACCTGATGTGCATCCGATGACTTTACTTTAACTGTATATCTGGTTACTGTGGTAGCTTAGGATGATGAAGAAAGAAGAATGCGTCCTGTCCTGTCCTTCATTTTGAAGCTCTTGTTATGGGACCCCTTATTTGAGTTAACAAAAGCTAGCAAGACAAAGACAGGACACATCAGAGTAAACAAACGGATGGACAACTGAATGCTGAAATGCACACTGACAACAGAGACAGAGAAGGGGACACGGAACTTTATTACGTTGAGGATTGTAGCAGTACTTGTTAGGAGCTGGGACAAAAGGTCAGAATAAGGGTCGTATAAACCAGTGTTTCCCAAAGTTGGGGTCGTGACCCAAAGTGGGGTCCCAAAACATCAAGTTGGGGTCCTGAAAAGATTTTCTGAATTAATTACATTTTTGCCTTAGTTGTTACAAAGGAGTGAGGTTATTATATTTAAAATGGATAAATGTAGTATAAAAAATATTGTTACTATGCCCATGTTTTGTTGACCCGATGCAAATGTTTATCATCCAAAAATATCTGGGGGCACAGGTCTCTGCTACTGTTATTTTGTGGGTCAAAAGCTGAAAAGTTTGGGAACCACTGCACTTTGGTTCCCAAAGTTGGGCTTGGGACCCAATTATGRGTCATGAAGCACCTTGGATAATCTCCAGAAATCAATTTAAAGGGTAATAAAATAATTGCTGATGTAATATTTTTCCTATAACTGTTACAAAAACACAAAATAAGTATAAATAAGTATTTATATTTGTGTACAAGCTGTTTAGATTGTCAAAAATCCTGTGTTTTTAGGGTTATTAACAAAGTTCATGTACTCAGACCAGTAATATTTGGGGTCACAAGTTTTTGCCATGAATATTTTGTGGGTCAGAAGATAAAAAGTTTGAGAACCACTGGTATAAACATCTGGTAAGAACATTCTGTAAAAGGTGAGATCATCAAACAGTCTACAAAAAGATTTAATAAGTGTGTGTTGGGTGGTCTTAAATTTCCAGCCCAATTCTTGGAAGTGACCACCCTTCCTGGTTACGCAGAATTTGTGTTATGAAAACTGTTTGGGTATAAAAGGGTCTGGTTTCTAAATATGTCAGTTCAGTTGGGATGATTCTGTCGGTTGTATTGATCTGAACTCAATAAAACTCCCTCATCGGCTGGCCAAAAGCCACGTCTCCTCATCTTTATTTCATCTTGATAACAGAGAACAAGCTGCCCCTTCAATTACTGCCTGGCATCTTCCGTTAATTAAAACCTTTTGTCCAAAGTTGAGTCGCTTCTAAAATACAAAAATAAACAAATCAGCTTTTCTATTAATCCATTTTAATTAGGGTTTTGTTACTTAAATGCTTCCATAATTCATGATTCAAACGATTTCACCATCAAATAAACTGTGAGGGTGTGTGTTTTTGTGCCTTTTGTCATACCTCCCTCTTGTGTTCCCTTGTCATCATTACGCATCTTTTTCCCTCAGATTGTTTACTTCCTCCTCTGTCACACACCTGCCAATAGTTTCTAATCAGTGTTCTCTCAGCTGTTGTCAATCCTCTCTTTTCCTCTGTGTATAAATACTTCTCTTTTGTCCTCACACCCTCACTGGTTCATTGTTTGGTTTCTCTACGGTTTTCCTCGTCATCTCTTTGTTGTTCTTTAAGTTTTTGTTTATTTCGCTGCCCTGCCAGCATTTTTGTTTTATTTTTGTTAAAATAAATATTTTTCTTAAAAACTCTTACCTCCGTCCAGATTTGGGTTCATTCCTCGTCCAACCACAACATAAACAGCTTTCCTTTATGATTAAAGTTATTTTCATCTACGAACATTGTCGTGATTTAGATGTTTAAGAGTGGCCAATAGTGATGGGCAAATGAGGCTTTTCTGAAGCACTGAAGCTTGCTTTGAAAAAGGATTCATTACTCGAAGCTTTCCAACAC